CCATTCCGAGACTGTAAGAGACCATAAAGCCCCACAAGCAATTCTGAAGACTTCGAGAACAAAGGGAACGACCCCAACCCCAAACTTCTAAAGCGGCCTGCGAAGGTGACCCAGGAGGGTGCTCGTGGTCCCACCAAGGAGGAATTGGCAAACTTCCGGCCGAGGACGACTGAGGCAGATGTTTGGGATTTGAGAGTGTATCGCTAGGGTTACAAGGATGTGCATGGGCTTCGCCGGCTGAACATTTATATGGTAACTTCTGCTAGGAACCTGCGCCGGTACCTCGATTCCCCCTTGCACTTGGAGCCCTCAACCACCAATCCCAACTATGGATGACATGACCCAGGCCAGAATGACAACATTGCAAACTCGGCCGGGCAAATCCAATGTGCTGGTAAGACTCCGCAATTTTGGACCGGAGTCTTGCAAAACCATCGTTTCAAATGCTAAGTATGCTAAGCATTCTAAGCACCTTCGGACGCTCGCGTGCGTTACAGCGCATGCGGACTACAAACATCTAGAGGAAAGTAGAGGACATTGCAGCGGGCAAGCCTACCGGCCGCATCCTGTCACGATGCCCGCAACCCCAAGTGAGATGCAAAATCATCGAAGACCTCAAGACCTGAAGTCCCCCAACCCCGGCTTGCTGCTGGAGGCCTCTCAATCCGAACATGAACCTCAAAGCCCCTACTACGCTGGAAACTGCAGCCGGAAAATTTAGATCTAGATAGCCCTACTTCAACCCTGAGAGTTTGGAAGCCTAGAACAGTCCCCGAATCCCAGCCAGACACCCCTAAAGCCTCTAAGGCCTGCTACATTCAACACCTCAAAGCTTCGCTCGCAAAGCGCCTGGATCGATCCCCTCCTTCTTATGGCGGGGGAAGTCAAGCCCAGCCTGGGCCAAAGGGAACCCAACAACTGGGCTGATGATTCAGCTGATGATTCGGCTCAAGGACTTTGAACTACTTTGCCAGGACTGTCGGTCTGAGGTCCAAGTGGTTTAGGGCCTTTAGGGTTAGGGGCTTCTGCTTCAGAAGGTTTTCTCGGTTTCGACTTTTCGACTCTCCACTCCCACTCGCACACAAGGCAGGCAAGGCTTCGACTAGACTACTTCAACCGAAGGCTCACTGCTAAAAGGTAAGCCCCGCGCGGCACGCAGGAAGACAATCGACTTCTCGGTGTGAAGATCCACCTCGCAAGCTCCAGGGTCTGGGCGTAGGGCTTTCGGACGGCCGGTGGCTTGGAGTGGCTGAAGTTCTCAGGTCCAACTGTGGGAATCCTGAAGGTCTACGCAGTTACGCCGTCTCTACACTGAGTCTACCCGATAAGGCATCGGAGCAGAGCATGCTGGAACATGTCTGAACAGGTTCCGTGCACGTCATGGTAAGCTGAGCCATCTTGTGGAATTGCTTACATGAGGAGTCGTGTTCAGGGGCGGATTGTGGAACTGCAGCAACTAGTTTGCAGAACGGGCGCCGCACCTCCGTCTCAAGTTAAGACTTTATGAAGGCTGCTGATCGTTTAGTTGATCCAGGAGAAGCCCTATGGGGAAAACCTTGGATTGCACACCGACAGCTCTGAAATTCAGGCCCTCTGACTGCTACCAAAGCGGCGTCGATGTCGAACCTCAGTTGAACACCCAAAACCACTCGTCCCCCGCTGGTTTCGGATGCCGTGTTGCAGACACCGCGGGGCACGAAGTGGGAGGGTCCGCAGCTTTTGGCATCCGAACCCCCCCCCTTGCTTCCCCACTCCAGGGTCTCTTCTGAGCTCTTCGGAACCTCTCTGCTGGATTTGGGGGGGGGAGTTGAGCCGTGCTAACAAAAAAAAAGCTCCGAACTCCGCTTCTCCTTAAGCCCGGCTGCTTGAGGTTGAAGCTCCAGGCCCCTCGGACCGTTCCATCTGCATCCTCAGGGGGGAATTTCGAAGAAGGAGGCTTTTGTGGCAGCTTTTCAGCTCCAAGGATGGAGAGTTTAACGCCCCTGTTCGTTGCCCCTTTGCTATGAAATTCGGGGGTGTTGGGGGGGCTGCAAACACAATGCTCGCATGACCGGCTTTGCAATGGTTTAGGGCTTGGGTTAGGGCGTTTAGGGTTTAGTCAGGGGCACAGCTGCGATTTCGCCTCTCACATTTATCATTTACCGATGTGGTTTGGTCAGTTCTTTCTTTCTTTATGTTCATTATTTATCTCTTTCTCTTGCTGTCTTGCTGTCTTTCTGCCTCCCCCCTCCCCCGTCCGTGACCCGAAAATGGCCCAGACCCAAAACCCCTCCCACCCCAACGGTTCCTAAACCTGGGCTTGAACAACTACGTCCACCACGCCCTCTACGTCCCAAGAATATTCATGACATTGATGTCTTGCAGTCTGGTGGCAGCCACGGCTGCTCCCAATTGGATCAAGCGAAGGCGATCGACATTCTCACCTCAGAGGGATTTAGGCGAGTTGGCTCTTAGTTTAAGGTGGGATGGATGTGCTTGTGCTTGGCACTTTGCCTAGTTTAGCCTTCGGCGGGTCAGGGTGTCGATGGGTTTAGGGTTCAGGGTTCAGGGTTCAGGGTTCAGGGTTCAGGGTTTAGGGTTTAGGGTTTAGGGTTTAGGGTTAAAGTTCAGAGTTTCCCTTCCCGAACATGGGTACTGCCTAGCTGGGCATCACACAAACAACTTTGAGGCAATTCAGACACGATTCAAAAGGCCCCAACCACAACGCAGCCCCGGCCCCCAGTGCTCTTGACGCCCAGGCACGCAGGGCCTGGTACCGTGCCGAGCGGGCCCCGCTACGTGGCTCCTGCATTTCAGGCTAAGTGGGATGCACGTCAAAGGTGGGCTTCAAGCGTTTGCAGGAATTATTTGCCTTATGCGTGGGGCTTGCACCACCACACAGCTCGGAACGTCCCTAAACCCTGCGTGGGCCGACATGCACGACACAAGGACATGCAGCGGCACGGTGTGCAGCCTAACGATGCGGGCACCAGCAAACCTGCCACAAGCTTTTCACCAAGCGCCTTGTCATCATTCTCAACTCGAGAGCAGGGCGAAGCTAGTACCGAGGGAATCTGAATGGAATGTAGGCTTGGTAGACCTGCTTAGGAAGACAACGTACGGTGATGCGAGGGAGGGGGGGGGGGGGGGGCGGGGGGAGCGTGACCTTAAATCCCTGCTGCCTGCCGAAGGAAGCCTGGAAATTCCATGTCGATCGCCTTGGATGTGCCGAGCCATGCTTTGAGATTCGCGTCCCGATCTTCCATGGTGTTGGCTGGCGCTCACATCAACCAGATTCACAGCCTATTTCGAAAGTTTGAGGTGTGCGGAGCCTTTTTCACGCTTTTCTTGGGCTTTCAGACTGCAGGGTCTAGGCTCGAGGGTAAACCACGGCTTGTGTCTCGACAAGTGCTTGGCCTTCAGAAACTATGAGTCATGAGGTTCGCAGGCAGAGTTGTCTGGCTCAGGTGGGCCTTTGACTGGTATGAGTACAACATGCGCGCTTTGGCTTCAGGGTCTGAGGGGCATGCCCCTCAAACTTGAGTTCTGTCTGCCCTGACTGCCTTGAACCCTTAGAAACACCTTCGAATCTTGCCAGGCTCTGGGAAACCTGCACCTCCCCTTAACAATTGCTTGAAGGTTCCCACAGGCATCGCTGCAATCACCCAAACTGTTTGGCCCAAACCACCCAACTTCAGTCCCAGGCGCCAGAATGGCGCCGTTTCCACTAGCATCGCCAGCGGTAGCGGCCAGGAGGTTGTTAAACCTTTGGACTGTACTCTCAGAAAGCCTGTCCGCAGGATTTTCACAGAGTCCTTGCGTTTATAAGGTTGCCTTTGAATCTCGGCTCCTTTTGTGATTTTAGTGAAGCCCCGCTGTCTCCTCACAGGTCTTCTTGGGAAGCCGAGAGGCTCAGTGTCCAGGTTCCAGTTGAAGACCTGGGCCGAAACCCTGGACCGGAGCATTTATGGTACGCTTCGTTCGGGCTTAGGGTGCTTTCTTTTCCCAGAACTTACCCTACATCCTGGCTCTTTCTGGAAAGCAGACGCCGATGAGCCACTTTGGAGAAGAGCCCAATATTAGCGCACTTTTCAGGTCACGCCCTATGCCCAGAACAGCTTCCAAGCCTCCGTGATATGCTTCTCCGTGGGCGTCGCGGGCGGTGACTCCCGCGCCATTGCCTGACAACGCGTGTCATGATGGCATGTAGACAGATGATCTGGCATGCCCCGAACTGCCTCAGCGACTCAGCGAGCGTTCAACCCTTGAACCCCACAAGCTGAGCTGCTGGGAGATGGTGGCTGCCGGGCGCCGTTTGTCGGCGGCTCGCCTGCGTCGACATCTGCTTCGACTTCGACAGCCCCGTCAATTGAGCAAAAAGGCCGAAGCAGAAACCCTGCGAAGGTGGAACTTTGCTCCCTGAGGGCAGACTTGATCCAGTCAAACACCCATCAGATCCCGAAAAGCCCCCTGCATCTGCTGTAGACAAGTGAAACAACGCATCTCATCTCGAAAGCCTGAACCTAGCACTTGGACAAAGCCGACCCCCTCTTCAACTTTCCACAAAAGATCTTAAACCCTGCAGTGCGCGCCGGTGCCGCGGCGGCAGGGCCCTGGGCCGAGGGCCGTGGCAAAGCGATGGGGCGGCCGAATGCGGCTGCGGGCGGGCGGCGAGACTTCGACGCTGGTACTGCTGTCCGAAGAGCGCTCACACACGGGCTCGGGTGTGTTTTGGGAGGGGCCTAACAGAAGGTGTGCGCACTGACGCAAGGGAGTTGCGCATGTTCTAGGACTTCGGGTTGCCAATTCCGCGCCCTGACCCCACGTAGTCTTGCTCAACTGCCCTCCCATCGCCACACATCGACAAGCATCCTGCTGGCTTAAGGCCCTCCCTCCGGGCGTTTTCGCAAGCCTTGAACAACTCATCCACCTTACGTTTGCTTCATGAGAAGAAAATGATATCAAGCCTGGAGGGCTACGAGCCCAACACCCTGCAGGAAGTGGTGCATTTGGGCACTGGCGGATGCCGGCTCTTCCACAAACAGGGCCTGAATCCTCAGCGCGCATATCTCGTCCCAAAATGGCTGACCCTATCCTTGCTTCGCCCAAACTCGCAGAAGTGCTTGAAGCTGGCCCTCGTTTCATTCTCCTTGTTGACCATCACTGTACTAGGACCAGGCAGAGCTGGAGCAACGTAGCGTGGTCGGCATACTCGCTCGGATGCGCAAGTCAGCAGAAGACTTTACATGGGTTTTCTTACAGTGACAACATGGCAAGTGCCGCGAACCTGGCTGGAAAAAGACCACCTCTTGAATCGATTGCAGTCACCTAGGATTCAAAAGCCATAAGATCCCAGCATGCTATGGAAGACTAACTGGAAGTTTCCCCCCCACCCCCCCCCATGATCCCGCACATTCCGGAGTGAGAGCCCGCACTCTGGCGATGCCAAGCCCAAACGATCACGAACCTGTGAATAGGGACGGAAGAGAAGACGCACGCCAAAAACTTCGCTTGCGGCTTGCATCTTCGAGCTTCACCTCCGTCCACACTACATGCGAAATCGTGAACCCTAACGGAATCCAAAAACAGGGAAATGTTGAACCTACGGCAGACAGGTACGTGCGCACGGGCCTGGTCGATGCTCGGCATCTCCTCCTGCGGCAGGCCGGGGGTCAAAACCAAAAACGGGCCTTTTTCCGGTTGGGCCTGAGCTTTTGGATGCCTCTCGGTCGTGGCTTCCCTTTAAACAGGCGTGGCAAGCGAGGCTCTCTGCTCCTCTGGCCGTGCCCTTACAAGGACGGCACCGCCTCCAGTGACATTGCGCCCAAGAACCAAATATCCCAAGCTGGGGTCCTTGCACATGGCAATCGGCTGGAAACTCGCGGAATCTGCAAAGCTCGCCCTCCAGCGACCGAAGCTGTGGGAAGTCAGAAGGTCCCAGGACTCCACATCGCCTGTGGAAAGAAGCGCCCAAAGAACCCCACGCTGCTCCATGTGCAACGCTGCAACCGCCTTAGACGGATCTTGCAGCGGAGCATCCAGGCCAGGTTGCAGCTTTGTGGGCTCAGGCACACCAAGCCCAAGCTCGTCAGGTAGCGGAACTGCAGCCACCGGAATCAGGCGGCCATCCCAACCTGCAAGAAGCAAGCACCAGTCCGTCAAGGACCCCTGTGGCAGCAAGGTGGCCAGCTGTTCGCACCTTGTGATGCTGCCGGTCACCTGCAACCACGGCGGTTGACCGGCGAGCGCAAGGGCCGCGCGAGCATGCCCTGGATGCCAGACCTCGATGCGGTCTGCTGCGGGCGACAGAAGGAGGCAGTGGGCGAAGCCACCGGCGCAGGCTGCACCGATTGAAGGCAACCGGCCACGCCAGACCTCGTCCAATCGCAGCGTGGTGCTTTCGTCTTGGGCCACGCCCGCGTAGACTGCAAAGGGACTCGCCACGTGAAACAGCCCGGAGGAAGGGCACAGCAGGCCCTGAGGTCGGAAAAAGATTCCATGCGGCCATTCGACCTCCAGATGCTCGAAGCTCCAAGTCATCTTGGCCTCGCAGAGCCTCCGCTCGTGGGCCGGGTGCTGCTGAAAATCTACTTGGTAGATGTGAACTTCCTTCAGGAAAGCCATGAGACCAGACCACAGCCAGCATACTTGCAACACGCGTGTGATGTTGCGGAGCACTTGCCACGGAAGTTTTTCTGGCACGAAGTGCTGGGCGTTCGCGCCTGCCATGGCCACCAGTGTGGGGTCTCTGCCTGGGTCACGGTCGGCCGCACTTGCTTGAGCTGCTGGAACTGCTTGAGATGCCTGAGCGGCTTGGGCGCCCGCCTCCATTGTCTCGTCGTGTGAATCTGAGCGAGATCGGAGCAGCTCAGCATTGGCCTCCCGATCCTCTCCCCGCTGGTGCAGACGGGTCTTGAAGAGAGTGATCAGATTTGGGAACTGCCCTCTCGTCACCCCAGAGCCCGCGGCAGTATGCGGAGGAGGCGCATTGCGGGAGGCGTGGCGCTTATTCTGCTTGTTTTTCTTCGCCTTAAGCTCACTCTGCAGGCGGCGGCGCTGCATCGTGATTCTCAAGTCTGACATGATCCGCTGTTCCAGAAGGCTGCGGGCAGCATCCTCCAGATCCTTCATGATGGCTCGGACAGCTTCAAGGGACAGGACCAGTGCGCCGGGACACTCTCGCGCCGCATCTTCAAAAAGAGTTCGCCGTGACTCGATTTCGAAGTGGTAGCAGGACGTCCTGTACCCTTCATCGTGCTCAAAAGGGCCCACCAGGCAGCCGGCAAAAGGATCCGCAGACCGCTCTTCGGAAGAGAGCTCGGACCATGGCCGGAAATCCCGTTCTAGGTTGCGGAGTGCCTCTGTAACCCCTTTCAATCGACAACACCGCTCCAGCTCCGTGCAAATCGTGCTGCCCCAGTTCTTGAGCTGATCCTGTACTGCCTCAAGATCCTTCGACTGCTGCTTCGACAGCGCCCAGGAGGGTGCTGCGTTCCAGCGTCGGGTGGCGCACTGGGCCATGGTCAGCTGCGAGGCGGCCCTTTGGGCCGCAGCAAGCAAAGCCTCCTCGGCCTCTTCATCTGCATCCTTCTCCTCCTTGACCCCCAACTGCCTGAACATCTCGCCCTCGATGATGTCATCCTCGCAATTGTTGCCGTCCGCATGCGGGTCCCAGCCCGAAGAGTCCCCAAAGACGTCCAGAAACAGTACCTGCCGAAATCGCCGAGGCAGCTTTGCCTGGTCATCGCCGTGCGGAGCCGCAACACGAAGCCAAAGCTCCAACCAGAGCACCTGGCAGAGAAAGCTCAGGGGCGACAGCATGTAGGTCTGCGCAGGATCCAGCACACCACCCTCAATGCGGTGGCCATGTGCAACACCCCAGGCAGTCAGCAGGCAGGGCATGATGCCAACCACCTGCACAGCCAGGATCTCCCGTCTCCTCAGACCGGCCAAGTCCAAAACAGCCAAAGCGATGGTCGTGCTCTGAAACAGCGTTACCAAAGCGTAGCCGGTCGTCGGAGAGTGGTTCTCCACCAATGTGTGACAGATGCAGTAGTAGCTGAGGCCCTGCAGAATCTGGTTGACGCCCAAGCCCATGCAAACCCTGCAGTAGGCGTCATAGCACTGCCACTTGGACTGCAGCTGTCGAAAGAGCTGCACATGGCGTTCTGGCTGCGCTCCTTTTGAGCAAGCGAGCAGATCCTCACCTCCAATAACCGTCTCCTCCATCTCCGGCAGAAGATTCTGCCCTGAGGTGAGGCCGGAAGGTGGGGCCACTGAAGCCACTGAACCCACTGAAGCCGAAGCTCCCGAAAGCTGGACGTCTGGCTTTCCGAAGGTTGTTGGGGCTTCGTGGCGCCTCAAAGGTATCTTGGGCCCCTCTTTCAGATCCTTGTCCACATCCGTCGGATGGGCTTCTGCCTCTGGAGTCTCGGGAACTTTCTCGCGCTCGCCGTGCACCTGCTGCCACTCCTGCCGATCCTGAAAAGGCAGACGAAGCAGATTGGCAACACCTTGCTGCTCGTAGTCCTTCAAATTGCTCCGGAGCCCTGCAATCTGCTTCATGCTGGGAATGGGCAGGCGCACGAAGCGCGTCAGCAGGCGCACCCCGAAGCTGTGGGATGCAATGGAGGCGTGCATGCTCAGCCACACCGCCAGTAGTAGGTAGATAAAGGCACAAGCATTGGACAGAAGGAATAATGACAGCAAGAATGGGGGAGCAGAAGCCTGCACTCGACCCTCACAGAAGAGCACGATGCAAAACTCTAAGAACAAGGCACCCACCAAGTGATACACGTCCATGCGGTCCACCGTCAGCTCTACCAGGTCGCGCACGTCCTCCCGGAAGAGCTCGAAGCGCTTGACCTGCATCTCCAGCCGAAGGGTCTCTCGTTCAATTCTTTGGTCTTGATCAAACTTGAAATTCTCCCGGTTGTAGGAGAAGAGCTCTTTGGCCCCAAGGCCAGCTGCCATTAGCATCTCCATGGCGAGCTGAGCCACTGCCGAGGCCCCTCCGGGGCCCCTCTACTGCCTCTACTGTACACAGAATGCTCTTGAGCCGTGACACTCTCTTTCAGTGTCCAGGACTCCGGGCGAGAACGACGTTGGATGCAAGAGCCTTCATGTTAACCCTGAATCCTGAACCACATCTGGGATTCCGGGGATTTCCGGGGTCTGCTCCAAGACGGACAGGGGGCCGGGAAGCAGATGAAGGGTTGAGGCGGGTGCGGGGAGTATGGCGGTCGCCCGGGCTCGGGCCTCGGGCCTGTGTTGTAGGATTTCAGGGCTTGGATGTGTAGGGCATGGCTCGATAAAGGTGGTACGACTTCGCCAGGGCGTGCGTCTTAGAGGGGGCTTAGATGCACTTAGCGTTCGCCATTTTTTTTGGGCAAGGACCTGCTCTTTTCATCTCAGCCTGCGTTGTAGTTCGGATCTTTCGGCCAGTTTGTATCGCACGTGGCTTCATCAGGCTCCCGGTTTAGAGCGTTGGCGATGCTGCATTTGCTTAAGGGCTTGCTGTGCGTGCTGCGCTGTGTTGCCACTTGATGCCCCGATCATTGGCTTACCTTTCTCAGCGATAGCCTCAACCAAACCCTTCAAAAACCGGCCTCTGCGTTTGAGAGGCCGAGGAAGGCTGCGAGGGCTGGGAACTCCGTGTCTGTGATCACAGCGATGGCATCATCCCTGTAGGGCGTTAGGGTTTAGGGAGGCCAGAGTTTGGAGAGGGGCTTCAGGGGGCTTCAGAGATGTGATGCCACAGTCGAGAAGGATAGGGAGCTTCAGAGATCGATTCAAGACGATGCAGGTGCGGCAACGAGCCCTGCCAAGAAAGAAAAGAACGAAAGCCTCGAAGGAAGAGCCCAAGAAGTGGTGATCTGATGTCACATTGTTACTCAATTGTGGAATGGCACTCTTCAGAACTTGCCTTTCGTGGCATGTTTGGCTTAGGAATGGATTCGAGCCATCACGCCCAGAGCATGATGCGTTTGCCCCCCTGAAAGTAGCGGTACCTTACCAAGATAGGAAAGACAAGAAGCAACACTCAAACTGTCCTGTGCGGCAGCTCGGTTTCTGGCTGGGGCCTACAGGGTCTAGAGTCTAGACTTCCACACGCAAACGCAGCAATGCACCCTTATGTCGCAGGAACTGAGCAACATGGGGCTTCTCCTTGGTACCACTCAGGAAGGTTTGCGACTTAGGCCTCCACATCCCAGAGGCCCAGGGCTACCATGGCAGATGAAGCTTGGCCGCCGCACACAACGTCCTCCCCGAGCTCGTCGCTACTGGGTGGCAGGTTGAAGAGCGAGAAGACCTGGCCGCTTTCGTGAGAAAGCCCCAAAGCTCTCGCAAGATGAGTTTCTTAAGCTTTGCGTTTTGCCCAGGCCTCCCCTCGCTGGGGGGAAAATTTGGAGCCCTGCAGGTTCGAAGTCCTGAAACGCCCCTGCCTCTTAACCCAAACCGCCCAAACCTTGGAGCCAACATCCTGACGCGCCGAATCCATTCGTTGCACTCCTACGCTAAAAACGCATTTGGAGAGGACCTGCAACATGCCCGAGCTCGAAGCCTGGTTTAAACTCTCCTGGTCAATGCTAGCTGCAACATGTAAGCCAAGCGCTTGCGAAGCTTTCTGAGCGGTTGCTCAAGAACTGATGTTCCCCAACCCGCCTTGGGGATCTCCTCCTGTTCGCTTTTCCAGATGCATGCAGGTGATAGGGAGGAGTCATGCTGGTCGTGGGGTAGTCTCGGGTTCGCAATAGGGGTCAGCACATTGACATTCGGTGCCGATTCGAGGATCTATTATCCTTTTTGAACCCGGGCGGGCATCTATTCTCCTGAACCCACAACAAGTTGACGGGGGCAGCCTCCGCAAGACGAGTACCGTTTAAAACCCTCAGAGGCCTCCTCGTCCGCCAGAGACGCCTCGCATCCGAGCGCATTAATGCGAGTCCCACATTTTGAGGAGACAGAGAAGGCCGAAGGCCCAACAACTGCCTGAGGGCCTCAAGCGTACCAGCCTTGTCGTCATCCTTCCGCTCCGCTTCGCTCGGCTCCTGCTTCTCTGCGCTTCACACACACACACACACACACAAAAAAAAAAAAAAACACCCCCGCGCGCGCGCACGAAAAGGCAATGTAACTATTCAGGTCGCTGGGAGGTATTGCGTTGCCTCTGCAGGCTCTGCCGGCGAGCTGCTGGCAGCTTCTCCCTGCGGGTTTTGCCCTAAGTCAAGGTTATCTTGTTCAGGTTTGGAAACTTTGGGCTTTAAAAGTAGGCACTGCAGCGTTGCTGTCGAGGCTCATGGGCCGAAGACCCTTGCTTTAAAAAACCTTGAAGAACCTACAAACCACGACAGACATGGAATCCACCTCCAGCTCCAAAAATCCCCAATCGCGCAGAAGACACAGATCCCCGTTGATCGAAGCCAGAAACCCTTGTGTCGTGTCGTCTTCGAGGCGGGTGAAGCCTCCGACTCTAACTGCGATCGGCCCTCGTGCATCGCCAATGGGCTCATCGGTGATTCATTGCGAGTCTGCTGAAGGTGGTCTGGGTTCCCTCCATACGGAGGATGGAAGGAATCTGACTAACCCAGCTGTGCAACCCAACAACCAGCAAGAATAAGATGACTAAGGACCAATCAGGAACGGCCCAACGTTCCGTTCCGTTCCGGCGTTCTGTTCCGTTCCAGCGGGGGTGCCTCTCCTTCTGGCTCGTTCCAGTCTGGGCTCCGGAGTCTCATTTGGCGGCAGATATGCACGTACAAGCAAGACAAGGCTGCATGCAAAGACATGAAATTGAGGATGGTCGCTTGCGTGAGCTGAACGGATTGCGACCATGGGCCTCTGTCAACACCACTTCGTGGTGATGCTGCGGTTGCTCCGCATCTGCAGCAGCCTCTGAGGATATCGGAGGCTTTACGTATAATTCTAGTCCGCCCGCTATCGCCATGGAAAGAAAAAGAGATTGGAAGAGAACAGTGGGACAGAGAGAGAGAGAGAGGGAAAGAGAGAGAGAGAGAGAGCACGCGCGAGCCAAACTCTCTAGCTGCACACGCGCAACACACGTACTCGGCCTCAGCAGCACGCTCTTTCCTCAGCAGGCGCTTGTGTTTGCGAGGCGGGGTTGAGGGGGTCGTTCGAGCCAAGCAGGGTAAGTGGGCTAAGAACTCTGTCTGCACTACCTCAAAAACTTCAACCGCCTTCGACCACTGGTCCTTCGAAGAGCCCCGGTGCAACGAGCAGGCCAGAACTGCCAAGGATTCCACGATTGCCACAGCAGCAGCGAGCGCGTGACTGCACATTGGCTTCAGCTTCGATTTTGTTCGGGGCACACTCCACATCTACCATCCTCATGCGATCCTTCTCGGAAGGCCGCGCACAATCCGAGACCGGAAGGAACAGCAGCTCCCTCGCAAACACCTGCATTTAATGATAGATCCTTTCTTTCCGAGGCCGGTCTCGAAGTTCTATGTACCCGTCACGGCTGTGTTGCGCGACAGGCGTGTACATTGACCACACTTCGGGTTGGAGAGCTGAGTCTCCAACCCGTTCCTTCCCAATCGTTAAGAGAAAAGCACAACATGCGGTATCTCACAAGGGCTCAGCTTTCATGCAACAACCGAAGCAAGAAATCTTCTCTACAAAGCCGGAGCACCTTTTGAATGACACATCTGTCGCGAAAGAAGCGACTGTCCGTGCATCACGTAGACCATGACTGCAAAGTCTCACATTTTTAGCCACAACGCCCTGCAACAGGAGACGAACGCTCTCCTGCTTGCTTGCTGAGGCTCACCACCAGATAGGGAGGGAAAAATACCCAAAACGTCAACGTTGGACCCTAACCCTGCTGGCCCCGTGCTTTCTACTGCTGAGGCTTTGGGCCCTGCGTGGTTCGGGTACACCTTCTTGGAAAGCGGCATGGGCTCTCCAGATGCACAGACAGAACTACGACCTGTCGTGCTCCTAAGCCGAGGGGTGGAGAGGAGCAAGCTGCCAGGTACCCTACGAGCCCCTCCTTTTCTCTCCTTTCGGAGACAGCGTCTTTAGATTCTGCTGCGCCGGCTTGTGACATGGAGTCTGGTGGTCTTTCTTGTAGGGGCTTCAAGCCGGGCACTGTCTCCGAACAAAACCATCGGGCTGCCAAACAGCCGCTCCAAACGGAATCGAGCTTTGTCCACCCATCCAGGTGAAACCACGTAGGCGGCACTGCAGGCCTCTTGCGTGAACTCATAGATGCAACCGATGGCAAATCCAATGGTACTAGAAATTCCGAACGGATGCTTCTGATCTGCAAGATCCCGGGCCACATTTTCATGGCCTCTGCTGGCTCACCTCATGGAACATGGCGAGCGCACCCAAACATGGCCATTGCCAAGTACCAAGCTGCAGCCCTCGTGTGGCCACAGGCCTATGCAGTGGATACTGGGCCTATACAGCCCACACCTCACACTGTGCACTCTGCTTGGGTGAGCGGCCCGCGTCCAAAGCTTCAATCGCAAGGCCATTTCTGCGCATCACTGCATACTCAGATGCCGGGAAGACCTCGAATGGGTAAAAAAAAGCACGGTTGCTTCAGCAGATCACGCGTCTGCTGGTCGGTTCAACGAAGCCGCAGAGAAGTGGCTCTTGCCTGGGTCGAAATCGAAGAGCTTGGTATGGACTTGTTCTTGCACTTCAGAAGTGCCTTGTCAGCTACACATGCTGCAAAATGCCCGCCAGACTGCATAGACTCCACGTTAAACTCCACGTCGGACTCCACGTCTTCAAGCCAAACACGTCTTAAACCCTGAGCCCTGAATTGTGCACTTCCTTCCCGACCTGCAATCAGCGGTTCAAACATAAACATGTTCAAGCCTGGCCAACTTCGACAGCAGCCACGGTCACCAACCCTGCCTGAAGCCCGTAAGCCCCACAAGGTCCGGCAACTGCGAATTGCCGGAAATCCGAAAGGCCCCTTCTTGCAAGGTAAATCTTTCAAGACCGACCTT